TCATGAACCAAACGTTCTAATAGTAATTAATTACAAAGAAAAACGCTCCAAAAGCTTTTCTTAGATGCTTAAAGAGTTAAAGATAAAAAGACGCAAAAGTGAAAATAAAATAAAAATACGATTCATTTAGAAAAAAATAGTTCTAAAAGGAGGTTTCTTTCTTTATAATTTTATTTTTCTCTTTCTTTTATTTTTTTTATTTTTTAAAGTAACTAACATTTGAGGAACCCAAAACATCTAATAAAATTGGAACTCATAAGGTCCCTTAATCCCACACCAAGCTCCCCACACAGCGATATTAAATAAAAAAACACCACAGAAAGTCCAAAGAGTAGCAACAACTCCGAACGGCAAAATTGAAAATAGAAGAGGATAAGGGCGTGCCACTTGTCGCGGCACTGACTAGAGGCCCAGGTTTCATACATCCCGTTTGTTTTACAAATTTAACTCAGTTTAATTCAATTTGAACAGTAAGTATAGTTTAAATTTATATTTGATAAGCACGTAGTTTGAATTATATCCACCATTTGAATTGAGTTAATCTGTTTAACTTAAAGTTTAATTCTCCCCTAAAGTTCAACTGTTTAAACTATTTTTAAACAGTAGATAGGCACACCGACCAAATACTAATTTGAATTTTATTCCATGTTTATATTAAAAGTTGAATTGCACATTTAAATGTCAATTCGAATTATAATTTAAACCACACAATTTTAAATTTTTCCTCTCAAATAAAAAAATTTAAATCAACAAAATTCTAACTAACGAATCAAACAGGGAATAGTCTATCCCCTTAAAGCTTGAAGAAAACTGATAATTGCCGAGAATTGATTGGTGCCCACGCACTGACTAATCTAAAGAGAGGAGAATAGCGTGGAAGATTGAAGGGAGCCCGTTTGGTTGGATGATTCGTTTTCTGATTCGAATCATAGTTCATTATTCGTTACAGTATTCTTCCTCACAAAAAACACACGTAAATCGAAAATAATTCTAATCTCATAGTTCTAATCTATGAACCAAACGGGCTCAAGAGACTTGGGAATTTTCTACGACAATTTGACGAGCGAAACAACGAAGGACTTCGTAGATCAATGTGTCATATTCATACCGTAGATCGTTGTGTGGGAAGATGTTATGGAAATAAAACCCAAGTTTTGTTTTTAATCAATGCGTCATATTTCCCTCTGCCCATTACCAATTTCCAGTCATTGTAAAATATATTTAAAAGCAAATGGTTGTACCATTTCTTGCACATTAGCAACTGACAGAAAACCAAATTAACAAAAAGTTTTGGTTTTATATTGTAGGCTTATTATGTGGAGTTTCAAAAGGAAGACTTACAATGAAAGGAAGAAAGGTAAAATGAATGAAGAAAAAAAAGGTGTCGAAGAGATTATAGATTTACGAGATAGGAGGAGTGGACGGTAAAGAAGGACAAGAGGAAGTTGAAGAGAGAGTTATTGAGGAAGGTAAAGGGCGAGGATCAGTAGAAGAAGAGCTTGCAGGAGTGAATATGGCCGTGCATAATTTGCCTTAAACCCCTAGATAAGACCAATCCGGCAGTTATGCTAGTTTAGTTCCACGTCGCAGCCGATTGCCGGCGGTTTAAACGGTTCAATGTGGTTTGAATTTTTTTTTTTAATGATCTAAACCGAAACAGATCGTCTTATATATACATATTACAAAAATGAAATATTAATTTTATTCTTTATTTGTACGTTTTTTTTTAATCCTTATAGAATGCTAATTTTAATGGATTACATGTAGTATATTATTCTTTACTTGTACGTTCTTCTTTTTCTTCAAATTATCTTCATTGTCATAAATTTTCATCATCTTACATTTATTGTCTTCAACTGTCATCATCTTGTTGTACTCTTTTACTCCTGCAACTTCTTTCACAACAGAAGAAGACTCTTCGTGGTTTGGTTCCACCTATAACTGTAATCTCAATCAGTTTATACAAGTTTTTCACTTTTATACCCTCATGGTAACTAAATCACCTATTTTGACTTGTATAAAACCATCTTTCACATAGCACTCGGAACCCAAAGTGTCTAAAGCCCCTAAAGAAATCAAACTTCTCCTTAATTAAGGAACATGCCTAACATTTGTCAATTTTCTCACAACTCAATCAAACATCTTCACCTTTACAGTACCCATTCCAACATCTTTAGCACTAGAATCATCAGCCATCAATAAAGTACCAGCATCACAGGGCTTATAAGAATCAAACTACTCCTTATATGGGCACATATGGAATTAGCATCCATAATCTTAGATCCAAGAGTCATAATATTTTCATCAACAATAACAGAATACACATCATCTTCACTGTCATAATTACCGCCAACAACATTTGTAAAACCTGAAGTCTCTTGAGTTTCTTGCTTTATCTTTTCTTCGAGGTACTTTATCAGTTCATCACAGTTTCTCCTGATATGCCCCTTTTTTATGACAGTAATAACACTTAATATCCTTCCTTGGACGGGATTAAGAATGATCATCTCTCTTATCATAACATCTCGCTCGTGACTTGTCCCTACTGCTATTCGAATATGGTTGTGCCACTAAAACTTGTTCAGTATGAGACGAAACACTGGACTTTTTCATATTTACATTCTCTAACAGAGCAGTTGACACCTCATCCACAGTCAATGTTGTCTTTCCAACTAACAATATAGTAACTAAAGTTTCGTATGATTTGGGTAGGGATGGCAACAAAATTATCGTTTTATCTTCCTCATCAATTTTGACCTCTACACTTAATAATTGAGCTATGGGCTTATTAAAATTATTTATATGGTCCCTAACATCAATTTCCTCATCCATTTTCAACTCATACAATTTCTTCTTCAAATAAAGTCTATTTGTTTGGGATTTCGACATATAAATTTTTTCTATAACTCAAAAGGAGATGTTTCATTCATAACATTATATTTCAATTCAGGAGCTAAACTTAAACGAATTGTGCTTACCGCTCTCATTTTCAATTCTTCTCAATCTTCATCTTTCAAATTTTCTGGCTTCTTTCTTTGTAGCGCTTTCAGTAATCCCTACTGAATAAGAACATCTTTCACTGTACTCTCCCATATGCCGAAATTACTTTTCCCGTCAAAATGCTCAATCTGCTCAAACTTTATCCCGGATATCATCTTGATTTTTTTTTCTTTAGATATTCACCACAACTTTGATACCACTATTGCGGAAAAGCACACCCCTACACCCACGAGCAGAAAAATAAACTGAAACAAAAAAAGGACAAGACAAAGATTTACTCAGTTCATGAGAGGGAGAAAAAAATTCAATAACAGTTTTAGAATTACACACTCAACAAAATTTCTCACTTTCTCTCTCTACTCAAAACCCCTTACACCCTTTGCCCATATCTCTCCTCACTTTTCTCTCTCTCTTAAAAGGAGACACTCTTTCTCTGCACTTCTCTCTCTAAGCACACAAAACCATATACGAACCACTTATTTATAGACTCCTATGAACCATAAAATAACTCTTGCCCAAAAATAAAAAACAATAACTTACCTAAAAAAGTACAAAATAATTATTTTCCTAAAACCAATTTAAGATAATTACGTAACAAAACATACTAGTTAATATTCCATCAATATTGATGCTATAACATGTTATTTGAATAGTGCTAAATATAGTTATGGTACTACATATATGTTTATTGATATTTTCCCACTCTATTTCCAGAAATTGTAAACTACAAATTCTCTTAATTGTTTACTTGAAATGGTCGCAATATACTTAAATAAAGATAATTTAAAATTTCATATCCATCATAATTTCTAAAATCATGATTATACTTACAGTAAATTTGAGGAGCCTTGAAGGAGCTGTTATAATTGAATCCTAAATTCATTAATTGTAAGCCCATAAAAATATAATTAAGTAAATGTTAATAAAAAAAATGTTCTGCCGCCGGTATTTTTCATTTTCGAAACTCTCCGAAGTTTCTTCAAAATTGCTCCAGAATTTTCCAAAACATTGCAAAAACTACACTATAGACTTGCTAGTATCTATATCTACTCCGACGAAAACGATTTTGTAGTGAAACATATTTTGGAACCTCTAAAAATCCGAAATTTCAGAAAATATCACCGCAATTTGCAGCCTTGATTTGCATTGGGTTTAAGTCCACACTGTTTTGTTTTTGGGCTTTACCCCAAAACGCACAACTTTTTCTCTTGTGAAATGGTGTTTATGTATAAACTATCACTTACAATATCATCTATCAGGTCTTAAAAATTCATTGATATTCACTTAACTTAAAAATAATTAAACCTCATTTATTTTATGACTCAAATCATATTGTTACAGTGTTTTTTCTTATAAAAATTTAAATTTAATTTTTTTGTTATAATATATTTTTTTCTCACATACACAACTCAAGTCATAACTTGAATTGTCTAAATAAACATAAACTTAACGTGTTTGTTTTATGTGTGTACGCAGTGTATAAAATACACACAAACATGCATATATATATATATATATATATACACGCGCACGCATTTTGAAGGAAAAAAAGGTCATAATATCGCACAATTTAACACAAACAAACCACCTCATGTACATAGTTCAGCTAGCGTTATTAGTTAAGCTACGTGTCATTTTTCATCGATGATGTACTTCAGTTTTTCAGCATATATAATAAAGCGTTATATATACACACATCAAGATGCAGAAAAAAAGAAATGTATTGAGAAGCTTGTTGCAAAATATTACAAGAAACATATTATGTAACGTTAAGGGATAAAAGATAGCCAGGGAAAGATTACTAGGAAGGGACTGATAGAAGGTTTAGGTCCAAGGAAGATTTTCCCTAGTACGTACGAAAAACGTTACTCTGTGATGTAGTGAATGCTTGAGGTAATCACTATAAAAGAACCATCAACGTGTTTTTTCTCCACCCAAAAAAAAAAAAAAAAAAAAAAAAACCAAGAAGAAGAAGAAGAACAAGGAGAAAAAAAAAAAAAAAAAAAAAACCCTTCATTGGGGGAGTGCTTTTTTGTTAAATCCAAAATCATGGTACCATTGTCATCCCATCAAGGTCACTGATGTGTAATGCACTCTAAGTTGATTTCCTCTTTCCTTTGTTGTACTATTATTCGTTCGTTTGTTACCCTTGCTGATCTATCCTCTTTGTTTTTTCCCCATAAAACGCTATACAGCCCCGCCACCAGCAAAATTGCCCCACCAACACTGCCACATATAAAGATTGAGAACCCAATTATATAATAACCCCAAAACTATACGAATACTTACACAGCGAAACAATTCAACTTGATATTCGGTACAGAATCTTTTTTTTTAGGCGCCTATATAAATTATACATGTTGCGTTCTCATTTTGGCAGTACTTGTTTATCATCAATAATAGGTAATAACATCAATATTGTCATATGACAACTAACGATGTCCCCGTTCTTTTCGCTGATTCGAGTTTAGAATTCGAGTTTTGCTACAGTAAAAAGATTTCAGAAACAGTCACATCTAACTTTTTTGTTACAGTAAAAAGTTCTCACACAACATCACATCTTAACTCGAATTAACGAACCGAACGGGCAATATTACTTATGAATAAATTAGGTTTAAATTTTCTACGTACATTTGAATACCGATACTTTAAAATGATGTTCTTCTCATTCGGCCCGGCCCGAAGTAATTTGTGACAAATTTTTAGTCCTATGAGATAGCACCACCCAGGTTGTGGGAGCGAAATGCTGGCTGACCAAACCAAAGTGAAAATATTCTGATATTGACATCTTAAGATATGTTGTTTTCCATACCACTAGATTTGTTAAACTACGCTTTTTTGTATAGAAATAAGTGGGTGCGTTAGAAGAGCGTGTACAAACCTTCCCAGATAAAGGGCTTCTTTCCACAGGAATGCAGAGAAGATTGCTGTTACAATGAGTGCTAATGGAGTAAACAATGCTGTGAAAACAGGGCCTTTCTTCTCTATAGTCCAAACTTGCAGCCAGTAAGAAATTCCAGTTACAATTATGCCCTGCGAATGACGCTTGATTTGTAAGTATGAAAATTATGGATACGCATTTATATCTCCTCAAAATGTTGCATTCTTACGTAGATGTACGTGACGTGTCCACTAATGTCCTATTATGGGGTTGGAATTTGAAAAGTACTTGTAGGGACCTTCTCTGACCGGTCAGTTTAATAGTAATGTCAGTTTTTGACCGTTAGATCTGATTAAAATTATAATAAATTGAAACAATGAGCAGAACAGACAGTTTTTAACCCAGATCTGATGATTGAAAAGAAAAGTACTACCGATAATTTATTTTTTCAAGTCATATTAGAGAAACTCCTAAATAAGAACATGTAAATTGATAGAAATTAGAAGCCAAAAGATAGTTAATCACATATGGGACGATAAGCAATCTAATGGGATACACAATTATAAGTTGTAATCTTGAGTAATAAGGCAACTAAATCCGATCATGTAGGACATGATTACAATATGTGGCTGGGCTTGGTCCCTTCAAAAGGGCAGGGATGGAGGCAGGAAAAAAAGTGATTGCTTGTTGATATTGAGAAGATATGATCTTGGTAAAAGATCTGATGCAGGCTTAAATTATCACTTCAAAAAGTATCAATAAAAAAGTGATATATTTTACTTTACCGTCTCAAATTTTTAACTATATATAACTTTCTGTTTACAGTTTTTAATGCTTTTCCAAATAGCTATCAAAGATCTGATGCAGGCCTAAATTATCACTTCAAAAAGTATCAATAAAAAAGTGATATATTTTACTTTACCGTCTCAATTTTTTCACTGTATATAACTTTTTGTTTACAGTTTTTAATGCTTTTCCAAATAGCTATCAAAGATCTGATGCAGGCCTAAATTATCACTTCAAAAAGTATCAATAAAAAAGTGATATATTTTACTTTACCGTCTCAATTTTTTCACTGTATATAACTTTTTGTTTACAGTTTTTAATGCTTTTCCAAATAGCTATCCCCCATTTTTTTTCTTTAATTCATATGCTACCGCTTTAATACAATCATTCTTAGCTTGATTTGAAGGCAATCATCATTCGCAATTGTATACTAAAAGTAAAGTTTTTGAGGGATTCGCAATTTGAATGCGTGTGTGTGTGTGTATTTAAATTCCTTGAGCATGTAGGATTGAATATCACATTTCTCACTCTAATTTTTTTTTTTTTTTTTTTTTTTTTCAATTTTCGTGCACAACTTTCTCTTACATTATTTTATATTAATGTTGATAAGCATCTCAATTTTGATTCTTTCTTTTAATTATTAAATTAAATAATTTAATTAACATGCATCTTTTTGTCCCCCCAAAAAGGGAAAAGAAAAACGTGTTAGCTAGCTTTCGAAAAGATAATGGCACCATTTGATATTCTATATATATATATATATATTTTTTTTTTTTTTTTTTTTTAAAAAAAAAATCAGAACAGACAGTTTTTAACCCAGATCTGATGATTGAAAAGAAAAGTACTACCGATAATTTATTTTTTCAAGTCATATTAGAGAAACTCCTAAATAAGAACATGTAAATTGATAGAAATTAGAAGCCAAAAGATAGTTAATCACATATGGGACGATAAGCAATCTAATGGGATACACAATTATAAGTTGTAATCTTGAGTAATAAGGCAACTAAATCCGATCATGTAGGACATGATTACAATATGTGGCTGGGCTTGGTCCCTTCAAAAGGGCAGGGATGGAGGCAGGAAAAAAAGTGATTGCTTGTTGATATTGAGAAGATATGATCTTGGTAAAAGATCTGATGCAGGCTTAAATTATCACTTCAAAAAGTATCAATAAAAAAGTGATATATTTTACTTTACCGTCTCAAATTTTTAACTATATATAACTTTCTGTTTACAGTTTTTAATGCTTTTCCAAATAGCTATCAAAGATCTGATGCAGGCCTAAATTATCACTTCAAAAAGTATCAATAAAAAAGTGATATATTTTACTTTACCGTCTCAATTTTTTCACTGTATATAACTTTTTGTTTACAGTTTTTAATGCTTTTCCAAATAGCTATCCCCCATTTTTTTTCTTTAATTCATATGCTACCGCTTTAATACAATCATTCTTAGCTTGATTTGAAGGCAATCATCATTCGCAATTGTATACTAAAAGTAAAGTTTTTGAGGGATTCGCAATTTGAATGCGTGTGTGTGTGTGTATTTAAATTCCTTGAGCATGTAGGATTGAATATCACATTTCTCACTCTAATTTTTTTTTTTTTTTTTTTTTTTTCAATTTTCGTGCACAACTTTCTCTTACATTATTTTATATTAATGTTGATAAGCATCTCAATTTTGATTCTTTCTTTTAATTATTAAATTAAATAATTTAATTAACATGCATCTTTTTGTCCCCCCAAAAAGGGAAAAGAAAAACGTGTTAGCTAGCTTTCGAAAAGATAATGGCACCATTTGATATTCTTAAAATTAAAGTTTTAATTAAAAACATAAAAAAAGAAGAAGAGAAAAAGAAAAGGAAAAAGAAAAAGGGAACATACACAATAGGCCACGGAAAGAAGATTGAGGTCCCATCCAAGTTTCCATGATGATGGGTTTCTTTCCATTGCAATAGCACAAAATGCAGATTGTATGCAGCTGAAGAAGCATTGAAGTGTGGTGAGCCTCAACTTCGCTGGATATTGCTTCACAACAACACCCTACAACAGGAGCTAGCGCACACAATATCAATCCACTCTTTTATATAGAGAAATATGACTCAAAAAATTCCCACTTTAGCAAAAACAAAAGAAAGAAAAAAAACCACTTTGTTAATTGGCGATCACACTTCGTTAAAACATATAACAAGATTCAATCATATACAGGTCCTAATTAGACATATATAGAGCCAAGTTATAGTATTCGACGTACGTGTCAACTAGAAAATAGCTTAACGACTTAAAAGTTAGAGAACCTTCCAAAATCTTTTTTACATTTAATAGTACGACGCAAGTAGTATATTTAGTGTCTAACCAATCAAATTATGTCATATTATTTTATGATAAGTATAAAAGAGTTAGTTAAAAATCAGTTCAAATTTTTTATACGACAAGAAATAATTTGATTATTTAGACATCAATTGAAACATTAAAATTAGATAGAGGATTTGAGTCCCATTTTTTTTTTTTTCATGTTTCTACTTATAATTTTGCTATAATCAAAATAACACTTCTAAATGCATAACCATCTCAAACTAAGTGGTTTACCTAAGAGCCTTTGGTCTAATGGCATGAGAAGAGGGGGGCGGGCATGGGCGGGATTTTGGGTGGGGATTTTGAATTCGATCCCGTATATAATCTTTAATTTTTATTTATAGAATGACCCATGTTATAACATGTGGTAATTTAAAAAAAAAATAAAGTGAGAGAAAATAATATCAAAATGATATTGTAGAGTGACAAAAAATCGAAAATAAAAACTGAGCTAGAGAAGAGAGTAAATAAAACCTGCAAAATAAGCCACAAAGACCAAGCGGTGTTGGCTGAGAGCATCATAAGGGAACCTTTGATCCAATCCCCTTTGTGGTAACTTTTTGAGAGAGAGTCTGAATGGACATGGTGATGATTTTGATGATCATGACTTGATTGATACCAATTCATCATGAACTTCAATGGGGGCCCTTTCACAAAAGCAAACACCAATGCCCCTGAAACACTCACTGCAGAGCCCAACACCTTGGCCATCCCATGCACAGATCTTATGGAAATGCTTTCCATTCTAAAATCAAACAAATGTTTCATTCATGTACTACTAAAAAAGGAAGCAAGGTTTAATTGATCTTCTACTAAATAATACTATTAGTACTCTAATTGGAATGAATTAATTTATGTGAGTTTTAGCCATGACCACCTTAGGAGAACGGCCATGACAAAAGTAATCGCCGGAATTGCGTTGGTGGTGGCGGCCGCAAAAGTTGCGGAAGTGTAATTGAGGGCAACATAGTAGAGGTTCAAGCTCAGAGTGATCCTGAGAACATGAATAGATTTTTTGAGCATGCATATGATTTTAAGAATTAGTTATTGAATTATGGAATCAAACGTGTCAGTACTACACACCCAATCAGGGAGACAAGGAAAATTTTGCAGAGCAAAGTGGTTGACAAAGGAGCAGCTTTCCCACTGAAAGAAGCCCATAAAGAAAAATCACGTCAAGTCCACTCAGAAGAATGAAAAAGAAAAAAAGAGTGATAAAAAAATTGGTGAGTTTGTAGCCGAATATGACCGACCTTTCAAAGAAGAAAGCGAAAGGAGCCAAGGCGATAGCGGCGAAAGCTTGGCGATAAACCACAAAGACAAAAGGGTTCATTCCTTTGGAAATTGCAGCCTTGGAGAACAAGGCCATGCCTGCATACACAAACTGTATGAAGACCAATGCAATATAAGGCTTTTGGTTCTCCATTGCCACGGCGTATCCCGCCATAATACTCTTCACCTTGCAGTATGACTTCATGTTTGAGGGGCTCGTTTGGGACATAATTTTCTTCTTCTTTCCCCGAGTTTCGATTTTTTTTTTTTCTGTTTTTTTTTTAGTTTTTCCGTTCACAGCGGAGAAAACTCCGCGCGGCTACTCTCTCTAAAAGGTTAACCGATGCACTCGACAACACAAAAATATTGTTGACACTAACACTAGGCAACCTTCCCCTTTTATAGAAAACTCTTTGGCTACTTGGGATCTTAATTTTCCCTATAAATATATACCATATATTCTGACACTATTGATAAAGTGGAATAGATTGTTTCCATCCACTAAATCATATGACGATCTCAAACAAATTACACACTACTAGATACGCAAGGTCTAGACTTGGTGCTGCCTTGTATAGATAAAAGGAAGCACAGTGGGATTAAGGGACTGATGGCATAAAGTTTTGTTTTTATAAAACTCCAATAATTAATACACGTGAAGCAATGAAACCAAGAAAGAATATATATACATACATATATATATCTATATATAAATAGTCTTATCATGTAGCTGATTAATGCGCCTGATTAGAGCATCATAAACTTAAGTGCTTACTAAGGAATGGTTGATGACTACCGGGGAAAAGCTTTAATGGGGTATGAAAGATGGAGATAATGGATATATGTACACACACACACACACACTAGACTATACTAGGTCTAACATAATTCGTATTATGGTTATACTCCTATAATAAAAAAAAAATTATTATCATTATATAATAAAATGTGGTTTAAGTAATTGCAATACACAGTTTATAAACACAAATAATTGTGTAATAGGGATAGCTAAACGGTACCCGTAAGCAGAATCATATGTTTTGCTGACCTTTGTTGCTAATGTTGAATGGACATGCACTAGACAAAATATCAGCTAAACGTGACAACCTAATTGGAAGAGAAATTAACTTGCCATTGCACATAATATTGAACTCATAATAAGTATTATACTTTATTATTTTTTGTTTTCAGGTAATTAACCCTTGCAGCGAGGGAGAAATTCCAGCTGGGACCACTTTTTCTTTATAAAAGAGATAAAAATGATATATCATATTCATGAATCATTACAGTGTGGGAGGAATAATGATATTTTAGACAGCTTTTCTATTTGTTTCCATTTGGAAATATTTGATGCCGAAATCAGTTGTTCTAGTCCAGCCATCGTACGACGCATGTCATTGTGCTATGAAAACCGTGAGATATATATATGTATATTATCACCTAATAACATGCGATTCATGGATAAGGGGGACCAATAAAAACTACATTGCCACCCTTAAGATATGTCAAAATTAGAGAGACACCCTTTGACTGTATATTATTATAGTTGACACACCGTAAAAACAAAATCATTACAATGAAACTCTATCAGTTAGTCAAAACTTGACAGAAAAGGTTTTCTCTCTTTATTACAGTATCCTTCGTGTTAGAAAATTCAAAAGGCCCATTACTTAAAAATTGGTGAGGAATTTTGTGAGGATCATGTGATCCTCAAGAGCCATCTAAGTTGATCATTATAAGAACCCATTGAGTTATTTCGCCTTATTATTCTTGGCAATTTCTTTCAAAGTCATTACCAAGATCATTGCTGACAGATTGGTTGCAGTTGCAGACAGAATCATTTCAAAAAAATCAGTTTGGATTCATTCCAGGGAGACTGATTCATGATTGCATTATTATGGTTTCTGAAGTCGTCAATGTTCTACATAATCGTAGTTTTGGAGGCAATATGGCTATTAAAATCGATATTGAGAAAGCTTTTGTTAATAGACGTTAGGATTTCATTCTCAGGGTTCTTCATATCTTTGACTTTTGTGATAAACTGATGAAAATAAATCAATAAATGAAAGAAATAATATAAAATAGTAGTCACAGCTAATTTAATAATTAAAAAAACAAACGGCGCAATTATTGTCTAAAGTACAGTATTCTCCAAGTGAATCTAATGATTCTAATCATATCGCCTTATCTTTGTTAGGAATAAATGATAGGCAACATCCAATAGCATTCTCCATTATATGACACAAAATAATATAGATGGACATCTGAGTTTGATAATATTGCTGTGAGGCTAGTTGCTCGTTCAATTATCCAAATTTCCGCTTGGCCTAGAATGTATGACACGATCATCCAGTTAATAAAGCTCCAGTGACCAAGAACCCCTAATTGATTACACACATGCCACAAATGACTACCGAAAGAAAAACGACAAATTTAGTTATACATAATAATAAATAAGAATTCATATTAAAGCATGTTTAAGAATAATTATATTGCCATATGTAAGCTATAATACACCCAGGCTAATTTCATGGTACCTGGCAAACTATTGAATGCCCTCGGCGACAAGGTAGAGCACCGTATTCTCCAAATGCATAATGCCATATGGCATGTTAATCGCAATTGAGCCTCAGGTGCCTATGGATTGTCACACATATATCACGAGATCCTTCAAGTCTATAGGTAATACTTGCAACTCATCTGGAACCGGTTGTGGTCGGGCACCATGGGAGCTTGTCTCGTTCATGACGTCAGACGTCGAAGGGCGAACGTTATTTGGAATTTTAGTCATAGGACCCACGGTGAGCGCCAAACTATAAAGGTTGGATTGGGCATTGATCGCAGTTGGCACGTCGATTCGATTCAATTGAATGCTAGAACGCGCACGTAAAGTATGAAAAAGTAAACGAGCACACGAATTTATAGTGGTTCACCTTCAATGTGAAGGCTACATCCACTTTAGGGTATTGGAGTTTCACTATGTGCTTTCAAATATACAATTACAGTGGAGTTTGAGAGTGACAAAGAAAAGGAGGAGGGGATTTAGAAAAAGAATCTAGAGGGAGGGAGCAACTGTACATAATGTGGGAATCTACAATTTGTGGAAGCAATCTTGTATTTATAGGATATAATTTATGTCCCTAAAGTTGCATTTTCCTTGAGATTGGCGAACGAGAAGTTTCCTCTTTCTAGTTTTAGTTGACTTTCTCATTCCATTATTTTCTTATTTGATTTGTGGTAAATTTCTCTTCAAGTTTGGTCTAATTATTCTTACCTTTTTTCATTAGATTTGGCTAATTTGGACTTCGTAACTTCTAAAGAATCTTCTTTTTTGATGTATCTGTAGTGATTTTCACGAGTCTTCTGTCGTCGTACTTCTTCAGTTAATACGGTTTCCCGAGTCACTCTTTGACCAGTCGATTTCTCCGGCCGACATTTTTAAAAAAATGTTGTCCACATGTTTGATGGTAATTACGGTACTGATTTTACTCTTAATATTAATCAACTACCTAATTCGTTACGGTTGATCAATATGTGACGGTGAAAACAATAGCACCCACACCAAAGAAAGAAAACACAAAATGAAAGCCATTCTTCTGCAGACACGTGCTCGTTACGTGGCACTATGGGAATCAGGCAACTTAAAAAGGATGGTTGATCAATATGTGACGGTGAAAACAATAGCACCCACACCAAAGAAAGAAAACACAAAATGAAAGCCATTCTTCAGAAGACACGTGCTCGTTACGTGGCACTATGGGAATCAGGCAACTTAAAAAGGTCAATGGAAATTGCGTCCTTCATGAAAGTGGCATGTGCTTAGCATTAAGGTAAGCAAAAGCTTATTTTTAAGGAAAAAGCAAAAGTTTTGAAGCCCTGTTTTATTTTTTGTCTCGTTAGTTTGATATACAAGACGTGGATTGTATCAAATGAATTTCTTTTGGATCCTATACAAACCAAAAGATGGAGACATATGTGTTGAATCAATTCCCATATATGTGAAGTGTGAACCTCTGAAAAAAAAATAGCGCAAATCTTGTAAACTATTTATTTTTGTCTCCGATAGAATGCTCCAATCTCTCTCTCTCTCTCTTTCTCTCTTGGTTATGAGATTAGAAAAATTTAATCCCAATTAGATAAAAAATATTCCGGGTACTAAAGTAGGCCCTCTCTTTAGAATTTTAGGTATAAACTGACCTCAATATAATTTGTGTGTAGGTTGAGTATTTGATCAGAATATATATATATATATATATATATATAATAACGCACGTGTTCTATTATATGATATTGGGTATACTATTTATGATCAACTTAATGCTCCATTGTTTATCAGTGCTTTGGATTGCTCTGTAGTTATCGGGACTGTTGCACCATTATTATTTGCATCGCAAGTCAAGGACCAAATAATGTAAATAAGGAAAGTTTCTGAACTTATAATGCAAGGATTGTAGCTAGTTATCAGTTCCATTTCCTTTCAAATCATGTAAATTACAAACCTGTGTAGTAAGTCATTTGTGTATATATGCACATGTATATATATATATATATATATTTAAATATACGCATATATCATAACTAATTTTACTATGCATAATGCATAGAGGTCTTTGATTCACATCGGCCACGCTAATAGTCAGTGCTTTGAAAATTTCGTCGACTATAAGAGATTATGTTGAAACAAAATATTATCTTCTGCTTACATATATAATCCTTTTTTGTCATTGGCCAAATTAATGATGACAAGAATAAGAACAACAACAATAATAGTAATAATAATAACCCCGATAGTAAAAGTAAGTTATCTATCACGTAGAGTCAATCTATAGAATGGGCAAATTATATTTTTCCATGTGATGAGAGTACTTTATACTTCCAACATTTCAAATATGTTCATTTAACAGTAGGGACAGGAAATTACAATACCCTCTAGTGATAGTGAAGTTTCTAAAATTTAAGAGTTGTGGCAGATAATATTCTAAGTTTTTATCATACCCTCGTTCATTTTACCGATTCGAGTTTTCAATTTTAAGTTTTTACAGTTAAAAGCTCTCAGAAAATATCACATCTAATTTTTTCTGCTACAGTGAAAAACTCTCAGAAAATGTCACATCTCAGATAAATTTGTGTATGCTATGATTTAATAATACACTAAAAAACTGCAAAATAGTAATAAGTGTTCTTATGAGAAATCTTTGTATACATTAGTTAAGTGTGTGTGTGTGTGCATATATATATATATATATATATATATACATACCTTGCACCTTATCTACAACTACTAGATGGGTCTACCTAATAATTCTATCACTTTCTATATTTTGACATATCAGAACCCATGCGCTGCTGTTGTTGTGTGGCCCTCTAGAGGGGAAAAAACCAAAAGGAGAGAGAGAGATAGCGAGTAAAGTTGAGCCATAGGATAAAGTTCTTTTGTATTTTTTATTTTTCTGGTTTTCCGAGACAAAATGTTTAATTTTGTTTATGTATAATTACATTCACTACTTTTGTA